CACAAAGAAATGGTAATCAGACAAGTTGGGAAGGCACATTCAGGAAGTGAGAACGTTCCAAGCTCAGAGGGAACATGATACTTTTGAAGAATGGTGTGTGTGTGTGTGTGTGTGTGTGTGTGTGTGTGTGTGTGTAACACTAGGAAGAGGCAGGGGCCCTGCCTTGGAGGGCCTTGAATGCCAGAGTTTTGAAGGGCCATTAAAAGTTTTTAAGCAACCAGGGTGATTTGATCCCACTTACATTTTCAAAAGGCTTCTCCGGCAGCCTCGGCAGATAAGGACCAAGGAGAGGCTGGTTGGAGCTGGAGAAACAGGAGAGGAGGCTGCGGAGGGTGAAGGACGGTGGTGCAGATGGACAGTAACATGTAGACAGCAGGACTGGGGAGAATTTTCCAAGAGCCAGGAACAGCAGTGCTTGCGGGCTAATCTAACTGAACCTCGTGTCCTCTTCATTGCAAAATTATTGTCCTCATTTTCCATATGTCGAAACTGAGCTCCACAGAAATGAAATCCATTGTCCAGCACAAGAGCACGGCTCTGACGGTCCCCACGCTGTGTCCCACAGACTCCCACAGTTGTGTTGGGAACATCCAAAGGGGGTCAGGGTCTCCCCCACAACGTCCCCCAGCCAAGGCATCTCTGCTTTGATCTGTTTCATAAATGGCAATCCTACGTAAGACTGAAGTTGAAGGGTGGTTTTGCCCCTTTTGAAAATGCTGTCAACTCTCACTGCATGTATAGAGCTGTATGTAGGTCAGAGGGATGGTCAGCAGTGAGCTGGCCTCTCCTGTCCAGATTTCCTGTATCCCACCACACCCAGCTAGTTCTAGAAGCCTTCAGTTTCACTCCCTTCACCTTGGCAGCAACCCCCCCCCCCTCTATCATCAAATCTATGCCCAGGGTGGCTCAGTCGGTTGAGAATCTGACTCTTGGTTTCAGCTCAGGTCATGATCTCACGGTTGTGGGATTGGGCCCCCCATCAGGCTCTGTGTGGACAGCGAGGAGCCTGCTTGGGATTCTCTCTCCCTCTCTCTCTGCCCCTATCCCACTCATGTGCGTATGCACTCTCTCTCTCTCTGTCTCTCTTAAAATAAATAAACTGTAAAAAAATAAAAATAAAAACGTCTATGCCCAGGGGTACATTGAAGAGGGAAGGCCTAACCCCCTTTGCAGTCCTGGGGATTCCTGGCCAAATGAGCACTGAAGGGACCGGTTAGGGGTCCGATCTGGGGAGAGAGCAATCCTCTGCCCCTTTTCAGCAAAGTGGGGGGACGTAATGGATGCCCAACCCAAACTCTTATCTATCTTTCCTCCATACCAGGTTAGGAGAGCAGTCAGGACAGGGACAGGAGCCAGGAAATGGTTAACCCAGGGAAGAGCAGCAGAAGCCAATTGATCCACAGCCCCCCTGGTTGGGCAATAAGTCCTCCGAGGGCTGCTTTTGCTGACCTCTCTTTGGCGCCACAGAGCTGGACAGTCTCAGCTTCCAACCTGTCCGGGAGTGGGGGTTGTTGCACGAGGCAGGACAGGAAAGGCCAGTGGTGTGGAAGGGAACTACTGGGCTCTGCATTTTGGGGAATCACAAATGGGCAAGGCCCCAGAGGACTTGTGGCTTGACCAGCCTAGCAGCAGCAGCAGGAATAGGTATAGAGAGACTCTGGCATGTGGAAAACCCTGGTAACCATGCCAGAGAAGTAAAGCCAATCATGGCTTCACTGTGTTTCTTTGGACACTTTACTCACCCTCTCTGGGCCTTGGTTTGCGCTTCTGTAAAATGGAGAAACTCACACAGCTAAGTTTTGTTTTGTTTTGCTTTTTTAAAGCGGGAATTGCGCGTGGGTCATGTAATTTTTTTTCCTAATCAATTTTTAAAAATCAAGGAGAGAGAGTTCATGGACATTTGGGCGTGACTCACATAAGTTGGGAAAGTCTACTACTGTCTGCTTTTCTGTTGCCAGTAATCTTTCATAATGTCACAGTTCTGTTATGGAATTTTAGAGGAATTAGCCTTGACCAGCTGGGGGAAAAAGAAAACACAATATGTAGTTAACATTCAGCTTAGGTTGCAAGGTCTAAGATTGCTAACTCAACTCCAGCAACACTTGTCTTCTGTGATGAGAAGAAGATTCTGAGTAGTTTCAGGAAAATCTTAGGTGACCTGTGAGCTGGGGTCAGGCAGGTGCATTGGGTCAGCCTGATGCTCAGGCCTAGGGAGAAGGTTTTGGTTAATAGGTGGTGGTCAAGGTGGGGTCTACAGCTTCTGGAGGCAGCTGAGTTGGCCTCTAGTGCTGGAGACTTGGGTGGTGGGGAGAGTGGGAGGTAACTTCTGCCCATCGAGGGAGGAAGCCAGAGCCCCAGGAAGGGGATGGAGCAGAGAGGAGTTGATAGTGAGAGATGAATGGGCCTAAAGCTTCATTGACTCCAAACTGCTTCCTGTCCTCCAGCTACTCCCTCTACTCTCCTTTCCCTGTTATTCTCACTTGGGGAAGAAGAGGGAACCAGAGTCAGAGAGCCTGGCTCCTGGTCTTAAGGCCCATAATCTCTCTGAACCTCAGTTTCTTCCTCTGCAAAATGGAGATCCTCTACCATCTCTGACTTCCTTTCTCAGTGAGGAGAGCAAATAAGAAAATGCCCAGGGAAGCACCTTGTAAATTGCAAAGCACTTTACAAACACAGGCAGCTCCATTAAACAATTATGTAACCGCCTGACTCAGAACTGGGCTGTGCTGACTCCTGCCCTGCCAGGAAGTCAGAGGAACTATCTGTCTGTCGTTTACCTGGTGAGACTTAAGTTTTATTTTCCCCATCCGGCAAATGGGGATGATACCTCAGGTCCTCCTGTTTCATGGATTGGTGGTGAGAATCACAGCAGATCATGCAGGTGCCAGAATTTAATATGTTGTGAATCATCATAATAATAGTACAGGAGAGAGTTCACACTCCCAACATATGGAATCTGACAACACCCTCCCTCTTGTGTACCTATGTCTCTTTGCAGGGACTTGGGCCCTCACCAAGTCCCTCACATCTGGGCCTGTCCATGCTCACTCACCTACCAAGCTGGCTCTGTCCACATTTATAAGCTCCTGTCTTTTTGTCTCCGTAGGCAGGGAGGGGGATCACCCGCTTTTTCGAAAGACACTGGGGCTGTGTGTGGCCCGGGTGATCGTTTCATATTTTCCTAAGCACTTAGCACAGAGGCTAGCTCACAGTAGGCACTCCGTTAAGTGTGGAATAAATGAGTTATATGGTTTTTTTAAATTTATTTATCTTTGAGAGAGAAAGAGAGAGAGAGAGAATGCCAGTAGGGGGAGGGGAAGAGAGACAAAAGGAGAGAGAGAGACACACACAGAATCTGAAGCAGGCTCCAGGCTCTGAGCTGTCACCACAGAGCCTGATGCGGGGCTCAAACTCACTACCCATGAGATCATGACCGGAAGCTATGTAAACAGTAAGCAATCTGAAGAGAAGTCAAGGAATAAGGCTGGTGTCCCTGAATTCCAGGGAAAAAAGAGCCAGGTGCTGGGCCAGGGAATAGCTAGCTACCACATCAGGCTAAGACGTGCTTAGGGATTATGAGTCCTCAACCTTGTGTTCAGGTCCCAGCTGCCATTATTAGCTGCATTCCTTGGATTTCAGGACAACCGTCTTGGCTTCAATTCTGCCAGAGAGAAAGACAGATTCTTCCCTTACTGATTCACAGCAGTTGTGCGGGGACCAGATGCCATCTGTGGAAACCGCACTACAAACTTCTATTGAAATGTGCCATGATTGGAGCCCTAAGGGTTCTTTTGTAGGCCAATTTGTCTAGCATTTCTCAGTAGGGCCTGAAGAGGGCACTGTACCCCAGGAGCTGGATTGGCCAGGGTGAAAATTCTCCTCTGGATCCACCCCTCTGTTGATTCTTCCCACCCTTGCCCCCATCATGCACCTATACTTCAACCCTCCGACCTACCCCTAATTTTTCCTGCTGCGGATTGCAAAAATTCTATCTCTCTTGCATATTTTCAGGGGTGCAGCCTGACTTCTCTAAGTTTTATGATAGGGACAGAAAGACTGATCCTCCTAATATATGATAATGGCCAGGATTGGGATCCCGATAGCTTTGTGTCATCTTTTACTGTCTGCACTGGTCTCTCTTGGGCGATACTTTACAGGGGAAGTATTATGCCTGGGAAGGAATTTGAAGTTGATTGTCAAAGTAATGGGTAAAATTAGACGTAGGGATGAGGAGTAGAGGCTGAGTTAGTTTGTTCTGTGTCCTGTATCCCAGGAGAGCAGGGAGTAGGTAGGAATTATATGGAAGGAACAAGCAGAAGAGGGAAGGGGTCAGTGCTGGGGGAAATGGGGGTTCCTGTTGTCTTGATCTTGGGCAGTTACTTTATTTCTTCATTTGTTCAATGGGAATGACAGTGGGCACTTTCTCATAGAGTGGTGCAAGGAATAAAATGAGGTCGGGTAAGGGAACACCCCCTATGCACGGAATGAGTGCTCAGTGAGGCCCCTGTCGGGGAAAGCGGCTCCTTCTGCAAGTCACAGGGTAGAGCATTAATGGTGACCATCCCTGGCAAGGAAAGAGGGCAGTGGGATTTAGAGATGGCAAAGGCTGATACTGAGAATGTGCCTTTAGCCAAAGGCACCACAGAGAAGAAATGAGAAATAACAAGGGTCCAGTGGCCAGGACTGGAAGCTAACCCTGGCCAGCAAAGGGACTCTTCCTCCTGGCTCTGTTTCCTTGATGGCGGCTATCACTCACTAAAGAGAGTTGCCAGCTGCCTACTGAGGAATAGCCTTGAATGGAGCTACCTTATTGACCAGCGTGGGCAGAGCTTGTGGCCTCAGGCCCAGTGGGGTCAAGAGGTCAGACAGGCCATGCGAGGCAGCACGTAGGGCCTGACCCCCCTCCAGCTCTAGTTTCCCAGGACTGCGGCCTGCTGTCATGGTTGGAACAGGGCCAGGGAAGTGGCGCTCCCGGGAAAACAGAAAAGCCAAGAGCCATGTTGTGGTTTCAGTTCTTGCCAGTGAGATTGAAAAATACACAAAACGTGGACCCAGTGAGAGCCAGGGGCCAGCCCCCATCCCATCTCCCTGGCTCCCATCACCCTTCGTCCGGTGGGCTCTTGCTGGGAGTACCCCTGAGACCTGGAGAATTCATGGCTCGCCACCTAAATTCTCCAGTACCTCCTGTCCCTGTCTGATGGGTGCACAAAGAGGTATCGGCCCTCCACCTTGTCCTGGCATCACGGTTCGGCAGGGCACCGAGATACGTTTCGTGTTTCCCAACAAGGCTCCATCCCCAAGTTCAAGCTGATTTCCTTCACATTCCTCCTGCTTCGGGGCCCCAGGCTGGCCCTATGACATCCTTAGATCTGAGTTGAGCTCTGGACAGTTCCTCTGGCCCTTGTGATGTCACCACTGGCCGCAGAGTGTCCATGGGCAGGCTGGTGCTGAGCTGATCACCCCCGACAGGGGTCAGGAGTGGCGGTGCAGAGGGCGTGGCACAGGCAGTGGTGGTAAGTGAAGTGGTGGACATGCCCGGGGTGGGAGCACCTGGTCACCTGTCTCCTCTTCGGCAGGCCTCCCCTGTGTACAGCGTCAGCTTTCCCCGCAGGAAATTGGAGTAGATTCGGAAAAGTTTGCACAAAGTATCGACAGTGAACGTTCGGAGTGGAGCAGCAGAGGCTGCGTCTGGAAGGGAGGTGGCCTCCTTCTGCCAAGGAGAGAACAGAAGGTTACGATGTGCCAGGGACACTGGAGGGAGATGGGATTCAGGCTAGAATCGGAAGGAGGATGAGAGCCTCAGTATTTCTTGGCAGGGGCCCTTCTCCCCTTTTACAGAAAGGGCAAACAGAAGTGAAGGAGGCACCCACTCCCACACACCTGGGCTCCCAGCGCCCGAAGCAGGGAGGTGAGGCTGCGCAGGCTGCTGACGGCTTTATCCACATGCAGCTGCAGGGTCTCAGATGGCTGGGAAGAGTTGGCCAGCAGAGCCTGGCCCCGCAGGATGGCTTCTGAGAGCAGGGCCAGGCCCTGCCAGACTTCCACGGCCTGCTGCCCGACCTAAAGGGAGTGGACACTTGGAGTCAGAGGCCCAAGCTGGCCCCTCCCTCTCAGCAGCCCCAAACCCCAAGCTGAGCAAAGTGAAGGCATGGCATCAGTTTTGTTGAATTAATGAATGAATGAAGAAAGGAACAAATGAATGGACATACTGCTTTCAGCCCTGCCCTTCTTGTATCATTCTCCCTCCCACCCCATCAGCTTCCCAAAATGAGATTCCCAAAGAAGAAAAACATAAACTCACATTCATCCTCTTCCAGGTATAGAAATTGACCTTGGTGTCTGGGACAGTGATGTTCTCACTGAAGCTGCAGCCTTCAGCACAGCCCATCTGAAATGCACCACCCCCAGAGTCAGGCTCTCCTCCACCGTGCACCTTACCTAGTTTCCAGGTATGCCTTGGGTGCTACCACTTTTTACCGTTTTTACTGGTGGTTCTGGCTTCCCACCTCCCTGCACCAAGTGCCAGGAAGGGGCTCAGGTTCCTGGATCCTGGAGCCCCCACCCCCACCCCCAGGACTCCTGAGAGTGAGTGAGTTCTGTGGAATGTCCTGTGGAGGGAGGTCTCACCGTGACATTTTCGGCCTCCCTGGCCTCCAGGATGTACCTCTCCAGGACTCGGCTGTCACAGATGAGGCGAGGGGGGGCGCCCAGGACTGGGAGGCCCAGAGGAAGCAGCAGCAAGGACAGCAGCAGCAGCACCAGGGCAGGACATTCTAGAAAAGAGTGCCAGGCTGAGTGTGTCTGGAGGAGCAGGTTCACACATCCCGCCCCTCTGCCCCCAGCTAGTCGCTCCCGACCCGAACCTTCCCAGCGCTCAGGTTCTGCCTCCTTGGCCTTCATTCAATCCCGCCACCGCGGAGCGCACACCCCACCCCCCAAACTACCGGCATCCACTTCTCCCGGGCAAACTTCAATCCCGGTGTGACAGAGGCTTCCCCTCTCGCAGATCCCGGTAATTGCTCCAAGACCCAGGTATCAGCTTCCTCCCCACGCACAGAGCAGCCCCTCTTCTCCCCGAACCCCCAAACTGCGTCCCCGGGTCCAGGTCAGATTGTACCTATTCCCGGCGGCTCCCAGAGCCCTGAAGGCACGTGGAGGCTGCCCCAGCCCCCTTGCCCTTCCGGGGTCCTTGGCAAGTTGTAGGTCCTTGAACCCGGCTACCTCGGGGCCACTAGCCTCGGCCGTAAATTCCTGCTCAAACAGGAGCCCAGGAGGGCGGGGGCTCCTCCAGCCGGCGAGTACTCACCGCACGACCCCATCTCCGCGCCTCCCCCGGCCCCTCAGCGACCTGGGGCTCGGCCGGCGCCCTTGCCGGGAGCTCTCATCCCGGGAAGCGCGGCGGGGCAGGGCCAGCCCCACGCCTGAAGGAAGGGGCCACCGTCCAGGGGCCGCCGAGCCGGGGTCGCGCAGAGCGAGCGCAGGACTCCTGGCCAGGGTCCGCGAGGACTGGCGCGCGGCGACCGGCCGGGGTTGGCCCGGGGACTGCGGCTCCGCCGGGGGTCGGGGCTGTTATCAGCATGTGTGCGTGCGTGTGTGGGGGTGGGGGGCAGGCTGTGTGCGTGAGGGGTCGCCGGAGGTAGGGGCCAGAGGGGTCAGAGCGGGGCAGGACGCCCGGGTCGGGGTTTCGCCGGGGCAGGAGCACAGCGGCCGCTAGCGCGGAACGGGACACCGGTCTGCGCGTCAGACCGCGGTTTCTGGGAGGTGCCGCTTGGTGCGCAACCGCGGGAGGGGTGCCATTCTGGGAAAGGCAACGACGCTCCCCCGGGCGGGGGAGGGGGCGTCCCATTCTTGGCCGGGGGTTCAGAGCTGGGAGCCCGGTTCCTTCGAGGCAGCTGTGTCTGGAGGCTGGAAGGTGCTGGCAGAGGCAAGTTGCCTTCCTTCTCACAAGCCCACTACTTGTTCTAGAAGCCAGTATTTGTTCGTGGTCTGAATTTGATGGGGGCACACGGAGCAAGAAATCTGGGCGTCTTCTCTCCCCACTCATCACTTTCTAAGACTCTGAAAACCCAGAAATGGAACTTTCGGGCACTGGGCACGTGGTATGTTGTGCAGAACAGGCCATGCACTTTGACATCCTTTTTGTTGTTTTTGTCTTTGACCTGTGATATAGGTTAGCCTGGTGGCAAAATTCTTAAGAACTCTGCAATAGAGCTATCCCCCAGGTGATGGCCGTTCAGATTTGCAGCTCAGCCTTTGGGGCTTCTAGGAAGCATCAGGGCAACTTTCTAGAGCAGGAGTCCAAGGCTGGCTGGCCTCCCAAACCTCAGAAAGTGGTCTCAGTCCTGAGCCTCAGTGCCCTGACTTATCAAATGGGGCTGGTGAAAGTCCCAGTCCCAAAGTCCTACAAATACTGGTGGTTATATATATTCCTTCACATCCTTACCAGTTCTGTGATATGAAAGATATCTCGTTCGAGCCATCAGTGCCTTCTTTTGTGCAAGTCAGCTGACTTTTGCAAGACAAAACGTGTTTGAGACCTAGCTCTTGCTTCCTGGAGTTTGTAGCTTACAATAGAGATAAGATGGGTACACAGGGCAGGGTGTGAGGACTGGAGTGTGCAGAGCCTGGGTGGAAGGGTTTGGAAGAGGCAGAGCTCACTGTTAGCTGGGGGTATCATGGAAGATTTGATGCAGGAGGTGACTTGAGCTCAGCCTTGAAGGGCAGGTAGGATTTCAAGGGGAAGGGATGTGAGGTGGGGCAAGAGGCTGGTACAGCAAGGGAAGTGGAAGGTCTGGCTGGTCAGGCGGGTCAGAGTGGAGGGTGTGAAAGGGAAAGGTGGACACAAGACCAAAGGGCTGGTTTGGGAGGGGTCAGGTTGTGAAAGGCCTTGCATGCCATTCTAAAGAGTTTGGATTCTGTTTGGAAAGAGTGGGAAACATTCATTCATTCATTCAAGAAATGACCATTCCTCTAAGAAATATATATGCCAGGGACCTCGGGATTGAGCAGTGAATGAAACAGACAAGAATGCCTGCCCTGGTGGAGCTGACATTCTAGGAGCCAGGCAGATGACAGACACAAACATGAGAATCTCCGGGGCTCCTGGGTGGCTCCGGTGTTTGAGCGTTTGGCTTGTGATTTTGGCTGTGGTCATGATCTCACAGTTGGTGGATTTGAGCCCCGCGTTGGGCTCTGTGCTGGTGTCACGGAGCCTGCTTGTAAGTTGGCCTCTGCTTCTCCCACATGCGTGTGTGCACACACACTCTCTCTCAAAATAAATAAAACTTAAAAAAAAAAAAAAAAAAAAGAGGCTCTCCACTGGCAATAAGGACCAAGGAGAATAGGCATGCATGGAAGGGGCCAGCAGTGACGGAGGAGGCTGCAATTTTAGATGGGCAGTCATGACAGCCTTGCTGAGAGGATAATGTGAATAAAGTCCAATGGAGGTGAGGGAGGGAACCGTAAGGTGGGGAGAGAACAAGATCAAAGAGGGGCTCAGAATGGTGACCGAGAGAGGCAGGGAAGCAGAGGTGGCACACTTCCAGCAGGAAGTAAAGAGGGTCTGACTTGCTTGGATCCTGCTCCTCTGCCCTCCACTCCCCTCCAGCCTGGTCTGGGGTCCCTCCTTGACCCTGGTGTACTGGCTCCCAGTCTGCACACCCCACTAAGTCCCCCGGTCCCAGTTTCCCTCTCAGCACCCAGGCAGCCTCCCAGCCCTGCCTGGCCATCAGAGCCCAGTTCTGCTTCCCTCCCAGATCCCAGCTGTGGGACAAGCACACGCACGCTCACGTCCACACACGTCCACACATGCGTTCTGTCTCGACCCCCCACCCCTCCCAGCCTCTGCTCTCTGTTCCCCTGACTCCTGCGTCACTGCCCTGACCTGACCATGGAGAGGGGGCCAGAGACAGATGGGGGAGGGCGGGGAAAGGGAGGAGAGGAGGATTTTGGGCTGTGGAACCTGCTGCTTCCTTCGTAGCAAGTTGATGGGGTGCCTACACCCCTGCCTTCAGGAAAGGAGGGGAGATGGGCCATAAGCACCAGCTCCTAGGTGCTAGGGCATGCTGGACAAGGGTGGTGCTGGTCTGGGGCTTTTGGAGAGAGCTCTCTGATGGCAGCTTGGGAGAGAAGGTGCAGGAGAGGATCTTGGTCCACCCCACACCCAACCCCTAAGCTGAGGTAATCCTAGTAGAGAGCAGAGGCTGGTTTGGGGGCCAGTTTCAACCCAGATGCTCTTGGCTACTGCCCAGATCCAGCTATCTGCCCTTCACATCAGGGGGCCCTGAAGAGCAGAGAGAAAACAGGAACCTTCCTGGGGCTCCCCCTGCAATGCCCACCGCCCCCTACCAGTGCCCCCTTTATCTGCCCCCTTGTGCTCTCCTAGCATGGCGCTGACCACTGCAGAGGGTCTCCTCCTGATCTCTGCAGTCAGTCTCACTAGCTTTCCCACTGAATAGCCTTTTCTGTGTCACTCCCCAGCTTCAGAAGCCTGCTATGGCTCCCAGTTGCCTCAGAACTAAGACCCTGTGTTCTGCCCTCCACATACCTTTCTAGCTTATTCTACTTTGCTCATTCCACTCCTTCCATTGCATGAACTCAGATGCTTCCTGCCTTTTGCTTACTCTGTGCTTTCTACCTGGATCACCTTCTCACACTCTCTCTCCCCTCATCGTTCTTCAAAGCCCAAACCCAAGCTTTAAGCTCCTCTATGAAGCCTTCCTTGATCCCCCAGCAGGAAGTTGTCCCTTCCTCTGCCCTCCCATCATTTATGGATGTGGCTTAGACTTCTTCCTGGCTGGGCCACCATGCATAGCTTTCAAGATTGAGCACCGTACAACTCCAGAGGGTTCCACTCACACCCTGCTTCTCTGTTCATCAAAAAGAGCAAAGGACAATATATGGCAGGTCTGGCTCACTTTGGGACCCCCCAGGCACCCAGCATGTTGCCTATTTATGGTTACATGTGGCTGGTATTAGGCACTCCCTCAATTCCAGACACCTCAACCAGAGAATGGGAGACCTAGAGTGGGGAGGTGAGCCGCTCATCATCTGAGTGCTTGCTGGAGCAGGCCTGGACAACCGAGCTGTGGGATTGCGGTGGCCAGTGAGGCCTGCATCTACTTCCTGAGAAGCAGCCACTGAGGCAGGATCTGGAAAGGGACGGGGGTGACAAGGAGGATGGCGGGGGTGGAGGCAGGCTGTGTTCCATGGAGTCTTCCTGGCAGCCAATCCAGACTGAAGGTCCAAGGAGAAACAAATTTACGGTTCCCCTGAGCTGCCCCAGACCCCAAGGCAGCACGAAGCCCCAGCTGCCTGGAGTCGTGTTGGGGACGAAGGGCAGGGAAGGGGGGTGGTGGGCTCTGGGCCTCTCTTCCATCCTCTTTCCAAGCAGTGGCTTCTCAGCTTGGCTGGAGAGTTCAGCCAGCGGCCCAGAAGACGTTCTGTGCTGGGAAGTGAGGTGGCCAGGGACTGTGGAGGGTGTGTTGTCGGGGGGGGGTGGAGGGAGGGAAGGCTTCCTGGCTCTTGGGGAATTGGAAGGGAACAAGAATGCTGGAGAACAGATCCCTGCTGGAGAACCAAAGAAAGTCCTGTCCAAAGTCAATTTGGGGAAACTGAGGCAAGGGATGCTTTCTTGGCCATAGAGCAGCCAGTAGAACCAGACATCCATCTCTCTGTGGCCCAGCGGCTTACAGGAGTTGTCCTGGAGACCAGGGAGCCCAGACTGGTGGCCTGAGCTCTGCCACTTACCAGCAGCCACTTTGGACTAGTGAGGCTGAGCCCGCGGATGGTGAAAATGATGATTGCTTCCCAGGGCTCCCATGAGATTATGTAATGCCTTGAGCAGGGTAATCAATAAGTGCCAGCTGTTACTACTGCACTGTCTCTGCTTTATTGTCCCTCCTACTTGTCCTGTGGAGGCCTGGAGACCAAATCTCCAGCATACTCTCCAGACTTCTTCCACTCTTCCTTCTGGGGCGCTGGGCACAGGCTCACAGCACCTTGTGTGTGGTGTTATATCTGCCCTGCCAATCAATTCACTGGAAGACGTCATGAGAATAGGGAATAGTGGGTTGTGGATGGAGGTATCTCTGGGTGTGTACACTGACTGCACTTTGGAGAAACTTGCCCTTGAACACAACTGAGTGAAACAGAGTCACTGTGGGAGTTGCAGGTAGGTTAAGATGCAGGTATCAAGACATGTCTCAAATTTCGTTTATTCAGAGCCTTGGTCAACCAGGGATTCCTTCCACTGTCAGTGTGGGTCTCCTCTTAGTGGGGGCCGGAGAAACCCTAAGGACCTTGAACTGAATGAGGCCTTTGGGCTCACTCTAGGCAAGCCCTGAAGCATTACGGAGCCACCTTTCTTGAATACTTGTCTCCTGAATCCCACAAATGCTTGAGTCCTTGAAGGTGGACCCCAAGGGCACCAATACCTCCACCTCTAGCTCCAGAACCCCTTCCCCTGGTTTTGTTTCTATGGAAAACGTCCCGCAAATCCTAGGATCTGTAGCTCACCAGTATTGCTGAATATTCCTACATGCCTTCCTGTATCTCCCAGCAGACAGAGCTGCTAAATTCGCCAGAGAAATATTCCTGTCCAAAAATAAAACTAGAAAATCCTAACTGAAACAAAACACGACTGGCAATGTCAACATGAGTAATGGTTTTTTTCTCCCATGTAAGGCCTGTGCAGGTTTGTGGTTGTGAACCCAGAAGTTTCATTTTGTTAACGTGCGGCTCGGGGACTTTTTGAGGATTTGGTATGACCTCTACTAGGTGGTCTTATAGGCGCTTTCTGCTTAGAAGAATATAGGCCAAGATCTCAAGGGAAGTTTATAGAAGCCTTAGACATACCCCTACACATCCAAATATAGCAAATATTCTCCCAAATTGTTAATGGTTCACTGAGAACCAACAAATATCAAGCACCTGTTGCTCGGCCCCATAGGCATCCCCTGATCTGTATAGAAGGGAGCCTCTCTGCTCCTATCTTATTTCATGAGCCAGCAAATAAGTTTAATACTTTCAGGAAAGCATATTTTTCTTGTGGCCAATAAAATTCATAGACTCTGAACTGGAAAGGACCTACGAGGTCCCACGAAAGTGATGGTTCACTCTCTGCTTGTAGACTCCCGGTGCCAAGACATCTGAGGTTTCTCAAGAGAGCAGAGGCTTGTTATAAAGTGGACAGCAAGCTGTCCTTCTATACATCCATCCATGCAGTCATCAGATATTTATTAGTTACTGGATCGTGCAATGAAATCGTTTCTTCTCCTTCAAGTTATCTTAACAGCGTGATAACTCCCCTGACGGCCCCTGCTAGAGAACAGAACAAAGGAACCAGCTTTGTAAAAAATTAATGTTTTCTTACTACAGAAATGATACGTGATCACTGAAAATTAGAAAATATGGGTAGGACAAAACATATGAATTAAAAAGCATCCATAATGCCATTATGATATCTCTTTTGCCTGACAAACTCCTAGTCATTCTTCAAGACTCAAGTCAAAGATGACACCATTAAGGGGCCCCTGGGTGTCTCAGTCTATTAAGCGTCTGACTTTGGCTCAGGTCATGATCTCATGGTTCGTGAGTTTGAGCCCCATGTCAGGCTCTGTGCTGACAGCTCGGAGCCTGGAGCCTGCTTCAGACTCTGTGTCTCCCTCTCTCTGCCTTCCCCTGGTCATGCTCTCTCTCTCTCTCTCTCTCTCTCTCAAAAATAAATAAAAGACATTACAAATTTTTAAAAAGATGAAACCATTGAGGCAGAGTCTTAAGTGGTCATATCCAAACATCTTTCTTGGTGGGATCACCTTGCCTCACCCCAAACCACTGTGCAGTTGGACACCTGCTCCCTGAGAAACTACATTCATCACAGACTTTTCAATCAACTTCTCTAGAGGTTTGTGAGTTGAGGAACTCGCCATTCTGCCCTCAACTCCTGACCAAGCACCCGGCACTCAGCTGGGACCAAGTATGAGGACCTCCCCAGAAGGATCATCACCCCGCCCAAACCACTCCATGTGTCCTGAGGGCCTATCTTCTTCTCTGTCAGGCAAGCCACACATGTAAAAGCTGACAGAACTAGTAACCCAGCCTTGTAAATCAAACATACACAAATCCCCTTTCCATCTCCCTCCCTATTCCCACAGAGAGGCCCAAAACCATTTCTTTGCAAAATGGCCAACATTAACAATATTTTTCTGACTTATGGAGCCTGTATTAAATGCCATGGATGGCTCTAAGCACTACGCCAATTGTCGTTTTAAATCTTACTTCCTTTTTTTCTAATTAAAAAAATTTTTTTAATGTTTTTATTTATTTCTGAGAGAGAGAGAGAGGGAGACAGCTTGAGCAGGGGAGGGTCAGAGAGAGAAGGAGACACAGAATTTGTAGCAGCCTCCAGGCTCTAAGCTGTCAGCACAGAGCCCGACGCAGGGCTTAAACCCAAGAACCGTGAGATCATGACTTGAGCCAAAGTTGGACGCTTAACCAACTGAGCCACCCAAGCGCCCCTTACTTCCTTTTTTTTTTTAATTTTTATTTATTTTTCAGAGAGGGAGAGAGTGAAAGAGTATGCAAGCAGGGGAGGGACAGAGAGAAAGGGAGTCACAGAATTTGAAGCAGGCTCCAGGCTCTGAGCTGTCAGCACAGAGCCTGATACAGGGCTTGAACTCACAAGCCATGAGATCATGACCCGAGCTGAAGTCAGACGTTCAGCCGACTGAGCCACCCAGGTACCCCTGTCTCACTTCCTTTTGACTTTATAGAACCACTTTCACCCTTTCTGGGAAGGCTGGGTGCTTAACACAGATCCCTACAACTAGCGACTGCTCAGTAATGCTATGGATGCTGAGCAAATGCCTACATCCTTCTCCAAAATAAGGCATTTCAATTTTGGCCTCTGGGGATCTGCTTTTGAAGTAAGGGGTCATTTTGAATGCATGGTGGCCTCTGCAGCTGTTGAATAAAACGAAGGGAGGAGAACCCCACTGGGACACACCTTCTGCCCTGTCCCCTTCCCGTTTCCCAAGCCCTGATGGAAGACACTTCAGTCAATAGAAGGAAGGGAACCGAGGTCTTGGTTGGCCTCCCACCAGGAGGGATTTGGGCTGGAGGGCCCTGCCCTGCCCATGGTGCATGAACTCTAGCAGATGCAGGAGCCTTCCCCGCACCCCCTACCTACCCACACACTGAAGGGTGAGCTCCAGGACCCTCTCTTCCTTCAGCAGCAATGTCTAGGGGGTGTTTCCGCAGACCTGCTGCTGAGGGAAGCCCCACTGGCAAGCAGTGAGAGGGCTTGGAGTAGAAACAACAAATAGGCTAGGAGAGGTAGCTGCCAAAAAAACCAAATGCAAAAGAGCTGCTTGCCACCACCTCAGCTGGGCCCGGGCCAGGAGCACAGAGAGACAAGAGCACATACGTGCAGACAAACACATAGTTCCAGCAAACTCCTTATTCTGCTACTGAGGGGCTCCAAGGCAAGGGAGCCTTGCAGTCAAGGCTGATAGGGGAACAAGGTGGGCAGCTATGGTGTGGGGGGTGGGAGGATCTGATAGAAATGTCTCCCTTGTGTCTCCCCAGCGCCCCCTGCTTTCTAGCCATCCTGAGTGACCCTTGAGTCTCACAATACACCCTGCCTATTCATGACTCCTCTCTGTGCATGCTGACCTCACTGCCAGATATGTCTGTCCTCTCCTCTCTCTTGCCTGGTAAACTCCTATTCATCCTTCAATACCCAAGTCAAAGGTGAAACCATTTTGGATCCCAGCAGGAAGTGAGCCATTTCATTTTCTACATTCCCAAATCATGGCTATTCTTACATAACTCACTTTCTCACTCATTCAGAAACAAATTTGTATATCTACCTTCCCAATTAAATGGGGAGCTTCTGGGGTGTCTGGGTGGCTCAGTTGGTTAAGTATCTGACTTTGGCTCAGGTCATGATCTCACGGTTCATGGGTTTGAGCCCCACGTCAGGCTCTGTGCTGACAACTAGCTCAGAGCCTGGAGCCTGCTTAAGATTCTACGTCTCCCTCTCTGACCCTTTCCTGCTCATGCAGTCTCTTTCTCTCTCAGAAATAAATAAAACATGAAAAAAAAATTTTAATAAAAAATAAATAAATAGGGAGCTCCTTGAAGGCATTTTGTATCCCTGGGGCCCAACCCTGGCTTTGGATCACGGTAGCCACTCAGCACATTTGCTTGAATGAAGCACTAGTCCTGTAAGGAGTCTGCTTTCCTGAGTTGCTGGCAGCCAATCACCCAGTATCAAAGTCCCTCAACAGGAATACCCAGGCCAGAGGGAGGGTTTTTGAGAAACGAGAAGCCTTATTTTCAGAACCCCAAACCAAACTGCCTTCAGGCAAATTAGAGAAAAACCTGTTACTCTTAGGTCAGAGGCTTTCCAACTCTTGTGACTTCGATCCATGGTAAAAAACACAATTTATATCATAACTAGCACATGTGTAACTCTACACCTACCTGTAACTGGAAAGGCACTAACAAAATATCACCTATTCGGTTGCGCTTTTTCAATTAAAAAAAAAAACAAAACTTTTTTACTTAAAAAAAATTTTTTAATGGTTTATTTCTGAGAGAGAGAGAGAGAGTGTGAGAGTGAGCGAGGAGGGGCAGGTCAGAGAGAGACAGAGAGTCTGAAACAGGCTCCAGGTTCTGAGCTGGCTGTCAGCACAGAGCCCGACTTGGGGCTCAAACCCACAAGCTGTGAGACCATGACCTGTGCCAAAGTCGGATGTGCAACCGACTGAGCCACCCAGGCGCCCCAAAACAAAAACTTTTTAAATGGCTCTGACTCAGTAAATTGATTTTAAGACCCAGGAATTGATCACCATCCACTTTGATAAACGTTGCTTTCAGTGACTCTGGCTTGATAAACATGAGAAATCAGATCCTCTTACAAATATCCAAACTAAAAAATGCTTATTATCTGTGTGCCCAGTAATTCAGGGAGGAAACTCTCCTTTCCCACTGGAGCAGCCCACCAAGAGTCTAGAGGGCTCTGGACCACAGCTGCTTGGAACCATTCGGGCCCTGCAGGACCAGGAATCAAATGGAGTCCCTATCATTGAGCCTGATACAGAGGGGCTCCCATTCTTTGTTTGCTCCCTTCATCCTTAAATTCTCATCTTTCCTGTCCTGGGAACCGCCACCAGAAAGCCTGATGCTTCCTGAGTGTACAACCACACCCGCCACATTTTAGCAGACAGGACTGTACACCTTATCCACTTGGCCTTCCTCAGAGAGTAGAAGAAAATTTAAAGCAAACACTGGGATTCTCAGGTTTTTGCATTGCACTGTTGTTTGTTCTCTTATACCGTCCGTGTACTACGCTCTCAGGAAACACGTGGGGTCCCCTCCTGTACCTAAATACTTGTAAAGTTTCCTACTCTCCCTTTCCAGGCACACACAGCATATACATGAGGAGAGACAGCGGCAGGGGGGTAGCTGCATACTAACACAACTTAGTACTTTTTATTGTCGGTGACAAAGCTTACAGACCACAGACTCAGGAAGACCCATGGCTTGGGCTCAACAAGAGACAATACTTTCCCCCTCAGTTCAGTCCTCTGGGTTGTAAGGGGTGGCAGGTTTTCTCCTATGTGGCTCTGGTAGAGGAGGTCCGTGGCCACACTCAGTACAAGGAGAGCCACATCTGAGCCTAGTTACAGGAGGGTAGGTGGACAACGTGGCCATCCTCATTTGGATTACTTGGGCGTAACCCTGAAAACACGGATGTGGATGGCCGAGTTGTTGCGGATGCGAGTCAGTGGCTCTCGTGTATCAGTCTCTGGTTCCAGCTCATCGACGAGCTCCACGGTGGAGGTATTGGCAGCTACCTGCAAGGACCCGAAACTGCCCGCCTGAAGCTGTAGGGCAATGTTAATGGCACGGTTGATGGCCAGCCCCAAGCCATGAATGTAGATCTCACTGCATGAGTTCTGACCCCGAGCCCCTCCGTCCAGAAGCTTTTGGCAGCGGGCCAGCTGGGCTTTAAAGTCAGTCTTCATGTTGACATAAATGTCATTGGGTCTCCGGGGCAGGCGGTGGGGGAGCCGCTTCCGAAGGGTGTACTCCACCGGGTCCAGGTCAGCCTCGGCGGCCCCGCGGGGCTCTCGGTTTTCCGCCATGCTGTGTGCCCTGACGCGGGGAAGGGAGGAGATCAGAGAGGTGCCAAGCGACTTCGCTTTCTTTCCTACCCCGTTTCCAGCCCAAAGAGTGCAGACAGGAGGGGGCGCACTCAACGCCCCTCTTCCCCTCCAGGCTCAGTCCCCTCCCATTCAAAGCGAGTTCGCGTTATCTCCCTTACCCGCAGTTCCTAGTCATCCAGGACATCACCCCCACCCTCAGGTCCCTCCACAGCCCCCTTCCCCCAAGCCTACACTCTCCAGTCCACGGTGCTCTCCCCGAACACGCGGCCCACTCCCAGCCGAGCCACTCAAGTTCGTGCCGACCCGCCTGGACTGAGGGTGCGGCCCGCGACCCGCAAGCCCCAGGACGCGAAGAAAAGCGGTGCGTAACAGGATCGCGAGATTGCGGGCACCCGGCCGGTTCCCGACTCCTGAAAGGGCTGCCAAGTGCGCACGCGCGCCTCCCCCCCTCCACCCCCGGGCCCGGGTAATCCACGAATCGTTCTCCCGGCCTCCGTTCTCCCCGCCCCTTCGGGCGCTCGCGCAACTGCGCGACGTGTTTAAGTAACGCGAGAGAGCTGAGAGACAGACTCAACCACGTGTACGCCACGCAAGCGGGTGCGGGGGTTTGTACTAAGTCAAGTCTAGGGAGGGTCCTTTTTACTAGGCCGGTCCGAGTTCCTGGCCCACGGCGGGGGTCCTAAAGGGGAGAAAGAAGACTATCTAGGGACCTGAAGGATTTGGGGTAGGGGACTTCCAAAGACAACAGAAAGGGGTGCGAGTTAAAGAGAACGTGAAGGGGACTGTAGGCAAGTCTGGACTCCCGCGTACATCACGGTTCCTCTGGTCAGAGGAGGTGTGGTGTGGCAGAGTTGGCAGAGCTGATCTCCCGCCCGAGGTTCCTGCTGCCCAAAGACTGAATGGGGGATTGAGTGGTGAGGCTGGGCCCTGGGCAGAACCACGCCACCTCGGGACTACACTGTAGATCATGGGGACCCGTCCCTCTCCCCTATCACTTGCAAAGTCAGCCCTTGGGGACCCAAGTTACTACCCGTAGGCCCAGCCTTCACAGCTCCCCCAGAGCGTGCTGACCCATCCACACCCCTCAACCTTTGCCCACCAGTTCATCGTCCTCTACCCACCACCCCCATTCCCGCCCCCAGCAGGGACGTGCGCCCCCTGGCGGGCAGGACGGGCTGGGGCCTGCGGGTTCGTGGCTCCCCAAGGACAATTGGGGAGGAGTTTACCCAGAATGGTATAGTTTCTGGAGGTTTCCCTTCAAAAATGACTTAGACCTGCATTAGGAACCTAGAACTACTCTCTGCTTGAGTTGCCCCAACACTTAAATAGGGATGATAATTCCTGTTTTGCCACCGTTAAAACCCAATATAACCTTGTAAACTGTTAAGCCTACACGTGGCATTTTTATGACCCCACTTGACTGCAGGTTGGAAAGGGGTCAGGTTCTTGAGAACTTTTCTCCCAGCACATTTAAAGCCTGTAGTTCTCCCTTTAGCTTCAGATTCTTTCATTAATCACAAGTTTGCAGGTTTAGGTGAGGAGGAAAGGCTGGCTACAACTCTGTTCTGCCTCAAAAGTGACATCTGAGCTGAGTTTTGATGGATAAAGTTTTTCAGGGGACCAAGGAATATTCTAAATGGGATTTTGGGTTGTTTTTTTAAACGTTTTTTAAATGTTTTATTTATTTCTGAGAGAGAGAGAGACAGAACACAGCATGAGCAGGGGAGGGTCAGAGAGAGAGGGTATAGAATCTTAAACAGGCTCAGGCTCTCAGCTAGCTGTCAGCACAGAGCCCAACACCAGGCTCAAACTCATGAACTGTGAGATTATGACCTGAGCCAAAGTCAGACGCTTAACCCACTGAGCCACCTAGGCGCCCCTCTAAATGGGATTTTGAAAAGAGTGGGAGCGTAATCTAAGCTTCCTCAAGGAACTAGAAAATGAAGAGCCAAATAAAGCCAAAGGGAAAAGAAGCGAGGAAATAATAAAGAACAAAAATCAAACTGAACACAAAAACAATAGAGAAACTCAAAATAAAAGCTGGTTCCTTGAAAAGATCAATAAAGTTGATAAGCGTCTAGCAAGACTGACAAAAGAGCCAGAACCAGAGACGGAAAACTCTGGTGCCTGTCTAGTTCAGTTTAGAGCATGCAACTCTTTTTATTTTTTTAATTTTTTTAAAATGTTTATTTATTTTTAGGAGAGAGAGAGAGACAGTGTGAGCAGGGGAGGGTCAGAGAGAGGGGGAGTCACAGACTGAAACAGGCTCCAGGCTCTGAGCTGGCAGTCAGCACAGAGCCCGACGCGGGGCCCGAACCCATGAACCGCGAGATCATGACCTAAGCGAAAGTCGGACACTTAACCGACTAAGCCACCCAGGCGCCCCTAGAGCATGCAACTCTTGATCAGGAGGTTGTAAGTTTGAGCCCCAGGTTGGGTGTAGAGATTACTTGAAGATAAAATCTTAAAAAAAAAAAAAATCAGAGCACTGAGTGTTATGTGGAAACTAATTTGACAATAAACTATTTGTAAAAAAAAAAAAAAAGAAAGTTGGAAAAAAAAAATCAAACTATGATTACCAGAAATGAAAGTGGGGTAATGAAAGATAGCCTCATATGCAAAAGATTCCTAGAGAATAATACAGGCTTGCCTTGGAGATATTGTGGGTTCAGTTCCAGACCACTGCAATAAAGTGAGTCAAATAAATTTTTTAGTTTCCCAGTACTTCTAAAACTTATGTTTATACCATACTGTAGTCTACTAAGTTTGCAATGACATTATATCTTTTAAAAAAGTACATATCTTAATTTAGAAATACTTTATTGATGGTGGCTCAGTCATTTAAGTGTCCTGACTTCGGCACAGATCATGATCTCAGGGTTAGTGAGTTCGAGCACAGAGCCTGTTTGGGATTCTTTCCTTCCCTCTCTCTCTGTCCCTTCCCCACCCCCTCTCTGTCTCTCAAAAATAAATGAACATTAAAAAAAATACTTATTGCTGAAAAATGCTAACCATCATCTGAACTTTCAGTGAGTTGTGATCACTGATTACAGATCACCATAACAAATATAGTGAAGTTTGAAATATGAGAATTACCAAAATGACACGCAGACACAGACTTAACCAAATGCTATTGGAAAAGTGGTGCTAACAGGATTGACACAAACCTCCAATTTGTAAAACGTGCAGTAAAACAGGGTATGCTTGTACAAACTATGTACACAAATTCAACAATTTAGATGAAATGGACCAATTTCCTAGAAAACCACAACCTATTGAACTTAGAAGAGATGCAATAGATCATCTGAATAGTCCTGTAACTATTGAAGTAATTACATTTATAGTTTTAAAAAACCTTTAGAAAAAGAAACATCTAGGTCCACGTGGTTTCACTGGTGAATTCTACCAAAAAAAAAAAGAAAGAAAAGAAATAACACAAATTCTACACAATCTCTTCTCTACAGAAGAGGAAGGAACATTTCCTAACTAATTTTATGAGGCCCAAACCAAAGATGATACAAAGAAAACTACATACCAGTATTTCTCATGAAAAAAAGGTGCAGGGGCACCTGGATGGCTCAGTTCGTTAAGTGTCTGACTTCAGCTCAGGTCCTGATCTCTCAGTTTGTGGGTTCGAGTTCCGCATTGGGCTCTGTGCTGACAGCTAGCTCGGAGCCTGGAGCCTGCTTCAGATTCTGTATCTTCCTCTCTCTCTGACCCTCCCCTGCTCACGCTGTCTGTGTGTGTGTTTCTCTCTCTCAGAAATAAAAACATTAAAAAATTTATTTAAAAAGCTATTAAAAAAAGAAAAGGTGCAAAAATCTTCAACAAAATTCTAGCAAACTGACCCCAGCAGTATATAAAAAGAATGATATACCATGACCAAGTAGAGTTGCTCCAAAGATGCCAGACTGGCTCAAAAAAAGAAAATCACTATCATTTACCGTATTAACAGGCTAAAGAAGACACTGTATATGATCGTATCAATCAAAGCAGAAAAAAACCATTTAACTTACTTTAGTATCCATTTATGAGAAAAACTCTCAGCAGAAAAAAGAATAGAAGGGAGCCACCTAGCTGGCTCGGTTGGTGGAGCGTGGACTCCTGATTTCAGGGTTGTGAGTTCCAGAGTTCCGCACTACGTGTAGAGATTACTTAAAAAAAAAAAAAGTCCCAAAAGAACGCAAGGAACTTCCTCAACTTGCTAAAGAGCATCTACAGAAACCCTATGGCTACAATCATACTTAATGGTGTAAGACTAGACACTTTTCTCTTACAATCAGGAACAAAGCAAAGATGTCTTCTCTAACCACCCTCAGTGTTAAACTCCCACCCAGTGCAATAAGGCAAGAAAAGGCTATGGTGTAATAAAGCAACGATTGGAAAGGAAGAAATAAAACTCTCTATTTGCAAATGACATACATAACTACTGGAAACTGAAATTTATTTATTTTTTTAACATTTATTTATTTTTGAGAGACAGAGAGAGATAGAGCATGAGTGCAGGAGGAGTAAGGAGAAAGGGAGACACAGAAACTGAGGCAGGCTCCAGGCTCTGAGCTGTCAGCACAGAGCCCAATGTGGGGCTCAAACTCACAGATAAGGTTATAATCTTGCGGTTCACGAGTTTGAGCCCTGCGTTGGGCTCTGTGCTGACAGCTCAGAGTCTGGAACCTTCTTCAGATTCTGTGTCTCCTTCTCTCTTTGCTCCTCCCCTCCTCATACTCTATCTTCTCTCACAAAAATAAATAAAACATTAAAAATTTTAAAAAAAGGAATTAAAAACTAACCCTGTGAAAGATCATGTTAGTAGAACGAAAAGAGAAGCCATAGACTGGGAGAAAATATTTACAAATTACACATCAGACAAAGGACTTGTATCCAGAATAGAACTCTCTAAACTCAAGAGTCAGAAAACAAACAACCCAATTAGAAAATGGGCAAAAGTCTTGAACAGACAGACGCTTAGACAAAGACAGTATAAGGGTGGCAAATATGCACATAAAATATACAAAATTGTAAACCATTGAGGAAACTCAAAGCCATGATGAGGCACCACCACAGGCCTATTAGGACTTCTAAAAGAAAAAAATCTTGACAACCAAGTATTGACAAGCAGGGAAACTGGATGTCTCACATACTGCTTGTGGGAATGTGAAATGGTCCAGCCACTCTGCAAAATAGTTGGGCAGTATCTTCTAGAACTAACCATACATACACTTAGCCTACGACCCAGCAAGAACACTCAAAGGCATTTAAAATCCTGTTCACCAATGTCCATAGTCATTTTATTGGTAACAGCTCCAAACTGGAAACAACCCAGGGGTCTTTCGATGGGTGAATGGTTAAACAAGCTTCTTAGCAATAACAGGTCGATCAAGAAGGTTTGATAGGCTGTTGGAAGCCTAGTTACATCATAGAA